AGAGCAAAGAAAAAATCAGTACATTTTGGAAAAGAAATATAGGACAACAAAAGTTACTGGTAGAAAACACAGAAAGATTCCTCCAAGATCATGGTATTCCTTGCAAAACACTAGGGACAATCATCGGATAATACTGAAATTTAACATATTAGGTAGGATGAGGATTGGTGCACTCCTCCCAAGATTTTCCAAAAATTTGAAGCCCTAAAAATCAACACATAGGATTTTAAGCATCACTTAGATGTCATCACCGATTTCAATAGGAAAGAAAGAAATTCAGGTATTGTTCATGGAAATGAAAAACTTACCTGCAGATAGATTCATGCTGGCTATCGCACAAAAGGTGGAGCGTCCATTGGCATCATTATTAGCTTCCCAATTTGGCGACAAATTGGGGAAGGAGTGGTAGTCACTGTTGTTCACACTTGCTTCCTTAGGGATCACAGCGTTTTGGTGATGAATGGAAGACATCAGAGAGTGTTTCAACTTTCTCTTGATGACAATGGATTCCTCAATAACGTTGAAGTCATCATCTCTTGGCACTCCTCCATCTACATCTTGAGGATGAAGTTGAAGGGGTGACCTTAATTGGTTCAGGATTTGATGGTTTTCAGTTGCAGGGCTCTTTTTCTTCAACTCTTGCACCTTCCCTTCACCACTGCACAGTATCTTGCAACTAGTCCTTTCTCTTGCTCTTGCCCTTGCTTTTTCCCTTGATTCCTTCATCTTTGCTTTAACACAATAGGCAGCTTCTTTCAACTTCCCCTCTTCAAAGTCCATCCCTTGTTGCTGTCGTTGGTCTTGGTGGATGACAGAAACCACTTCACCATCCGAAGACGAGGAGAATTCGAAGCTATCAGCACTGTGCTTGCTTCGAGTTAGCTCCTTAATCGCCTTCTTAGACTTTGTGAAGAGCCAGTCAAGGGTGTTGCTGGCTTTATCAAACCCTAACATGTCTTGAAGATCGAAGAACTTGCGTGCGATCTCAATGGACAGCCTCACCCTCCGGTCCCTCAAGCCCTGAGAAGTGTGAATCTTGCTGTGCCTGTCTTTCTTGGCCGTTTTCTTCGCAGGTTTCTTGGTGATGCCATAAAGGGCACCACCGAGATCCTGATTGAGCATTGCCGCAGCGGCACAATCTGCAACTGCCCAATTGGCCAGTGTTTCAGGAATCGGAGCATGATAATTAGTCGGTATGAAGGTAACAGAAAGTGGATCATGGAGAAAGGTGGTGCTGGCAGAAGAATTTTCAGGGTGAAGGAAAGTGAAAGAAGGGTAGGGCGAAGCAGAAGAAGACGAAGAAGGGAAACGAGGGTAAGAGCCCGAGGAGGTGTAATTAGAAGAAGGGAACATCTCACATAAACAGATTTTTTGCAATTTCCAACGGATGAAGGAGAAAACCCTAGACAGCTTCTGCAGAATGAGGACCACCCCAAACTCAGAAGAGGTTTCAGTTTCTTATCTACCTTCCCACTTAGCTTCCTTAGCTCTAAGTATACACTTTTTTCAAGACAACATAGATATGAAGCATTTGGTAGTGGATTACAAGGAAAAAGAAAGTGGTTTTATTTGAGAAAGTGATGAAAGCTTTAGGCCAATGTTGGAAGTATGGTCTGCTTTTCACAGTTTCCATTATACTTGGAATAGAGCTTCATATTTATCAGGTGTGGTGGTGCAGGACCATGAAGAATGGTACCAAAAGGGTGGGGACTCTGGAGAAAGAGAGAGAGAGAGAGAGAGAAAGAGAGAGAAAGAAAGAGTGTAGTATGTATGAGTAGCATAACACAGAGGATAAGACACACATAATTGGTGGATTGTGTGCCTCATTATGTGGAAGCAATGTAAACAGAAGAAGGTCAAATCATGGAGCTTTTGAGCCCGTTAATATATGTGTTTTGTGTACGTTATTTTGGTGTAATTCTCTGGCTTCGCGTGGATCCGTTGGATTTAGGGTTAAACTTCGGTTGCACACACTTTAAAAACAAATTGGGAAATTAGGTTTACTCAGATAACCATCATTTTTCCTCATATATTTTATTAATCAAAGTTACAGTGATGATACTTTTCGAATGATTGACACTAACACTATGACGTTTGCATTATATTTATGAAACTTTTTGTATGTTTCTTTTGTATACTTTTTTTCTTCTTCTTATCTCCCTTTCTGAATTATAAAATGCCACCATAATATATTGTCAGCGATCAAAGTAAAACATTTCTTCTATTTTTCTCTTCCGCTTTTATTATTTTTTATCAATTTTACTATTCTATGTTTAGGGTGTTTAATGTGAAATAAACAATATATAGATTCTAAGTAATATGTTTCCGAAAGAAGTTATAATTAAATTGGATTATGGATAGCTTAACAGAACTTAACTATCGTGTTTTTATTTTTCTTCTGCAAATTTAAAGGAGATGGGGTGACTTTTTTCTGCAGAAGAAATTGCACAGTAAAATTGTTGGATTCACTTTTCCCAAGGAACATGAGGTTAAGAAGCTTTCAATATGGTGCAAGTCTTCTTATTCGGTTCAGATCTTATTTTACATTAAACTTTTAGAAAAGAGAAATTTCAAAGGATAGGGATACCACACTTTCTCGATCAATAATTTGAAAATTTAGTTTTTCATTATGAATTTTAAATTAATTACTGATTGAATTACAAAATAAAAAATCCCATCACTTATAAAGTCATGTATAGTAGTTAATAAATGTTAAAGTTATGCCCGTTTTAATGAATAAGATTTTATTCTAAGAAATAAATTACGTTATCAATATAAATAAAACTTTACATCAATCAATATTTATTATTTTTTAGTATCACAAATCCTAATTAGACGGGAAGTGTTTATAGCGATTAAAAAAAACTTATTTTTACATAAACTAATCACTCAATGACTAATATTTTTTTTCGATATATGTATTTTTTTTTGCTTACATGGTTTCATCATACTATCAAAGTGTAAATAAATAAATCGCGGATTTTCATTTACAAGTCATTTAATTAAATTGTACTAGTACAAAGATAATTTTTTTTATATTATATTTTCTAATCATGCATTATAAGGCATTTTAATATCCTTTTAGTGATTTTTAATTAGTTAATAGAAAACAAGTAAAAAAATTCATATTGACATGTCATATATAGTTTTCATAACATCTTATACATAAACTACTATCAACAAATAAGTTATTAACTACTTAATAAAACCTAGCAATCCAATTATTTTCTGTTATATTTTTAAAAACGCATATTATTAATATAAGTGTAAAACTAAAGAATGTAAAAAACACTTTCACAGCATATAAAGACTTACTCAAACTTACATTCTCTTTTATTTCTCATCAAAACTGAAATCATTCAGTTGTGATCTTAAACTGTTGATCATGTATAGATAATTCTGCATATTATTTGATAAACCTGAAATGTGTTTAACATGATCTTAGAGTGAAAGAGAAATCGGTAATTAGTAGCAAAAGCTTAGTGCTCCTTTGACTTGGTCTTATCGTATCAGCTACTGTCATTTTCAATATAGCTAGAAAGCTCTTTCAATGTCTGACACAGCTTCGCTTGCTGCACAGCAGGGTGGGGGTTACATCTTCCTTCTGATCTGCACTCGACACAAATCACCAATATATTTACTAGCGAATGAAGTTGTCACAACAAGAAATGAATCAGTGATGATGCTTTGTTTTTTACATGATAGCTATGGTTATATATTTTGATTTTCTCCTCCAAATGTTTGAGGGAACACAAAGGGTTTGACGGTATTCGAACCAAAAAAAGTAAATGTTTGAAGGATTTGAGGTTGCGTTTCAAAGATAGGGACATAACTGTCTCTTGACCTCATTCTTTTCCCTTCCCTTTGTAGTAAACTAGTAATCGCTTTTCGGCATTCACTTCAGTGATTCACTCTTCACAGTTAGGGCCATGCAGGTATATATACCATCAATTTATACTTGCTTAAACGATGCATGTTTTTCAACCACCACCAATCATTCACTTACTTCAAAATTCAATTTTCTTTAAAAAAATGTTTGTATATTCAACAAAAAAATAAAAGAAACAAAAACAACATAAATGATTGATATTGTGGTGAAAATAGAGAGAATAATGCATTATAATAAAAATGTCTACTGCAACACGACAAATCATTCTTAATGGTTATCAAATGTTACATATGAAATTATTCTTAGGAGAGTATCAAGTTGGAATTTGTAAAAAAAAATTATCCAATAAAAATCAATGAAAGTAAGAAGATTAAATAAATCAACAAATTAAATAGAAAATAAGTTAATATATAAGAAAAAGAAATAAATATCAAAATGTGTAGAGAAGAAAAACAAATTAAGAAGAGATTTCAAAAGAGAAAAAAATGAAAAAAGAGAGAGAAAAGTGATATTATAATTTTTAATTTTTATTAAAAATATATTTAATGTATAATTTAAAGAGTTCTATTCTGAGCAATATTATTTCGTATTATATTTTCTCTCAAAATTTTGATTGCTTAAGAGAATATTTTTTAATTTCCCAACAATTGGTATAAAAGACGATTGTTATTAGTGTAATCAATGGTTCAAATGGAGTCTAATTTAAGTGAGAGAAATGATTGCACATGAAAGAAAGATAAAACTTGAGAAGTTCAATGGTACAAACTTGGGTTTTTAGAAAATGTAAATCAAAGATTATTTGTATCAGAAAAAGCTATATCAATTTCTCTCGGGACATAAACCAGAAAACATGAAGGATGAAGATTATACTTTTTTTGACTGACAAGCTAGAATTTGATGACGAAGTACGAGCCTCGATAATTTTATCTTCTCTACCATAAAGTTAGAATGCTACAGTCACCACTATGAGTAGCAATAAATTGACGTTTGATCATGTTCGTGATTTGGTTCTCAATGAAAAAATTGACGGTAAGAGTCAAGAGAATCTTCAACCTCTTCAATTTTTCATATAGAGCCAAGAGGAAGATGTTTGATTAGAGGATATGAACGTGGAAGATCCAAGGAGAGGAGGTCAAATTCTAAGAATCGTCGTAGTTTCCAAAACTTAAAGACAATTGAGTGTTGAAATTGTGGAAAGGCGGGACGCTACAAAAATCATTGCAAGAGTGCCTGGAAGAATCGGGAGGATAAAACAGAAGAAAATATTGCTTCAACCTCAGGAGAAGAAGATGCATTGATATGTTCTTTAGAGTACAAGAAAGGGTCTTGGGTGTTAGACTCTAGAGCATCCTTTCATGCCACCTCACAGAAAGAATTCTTCGAGAATTATGTTCCTGGATATCTTGGAAAAGTTTACCTTGGTAATGAGCAATCTTGTGAGATTGCTAGTAAAGGTGTGGTGAAGATTAACTTATATGGCTTTGATGGGAATTGAAAATTGTTAGACATATTCTCGACTTAACAAAGAACTTAATATCAGTAGGCTAGTTGACCAATGATGGCTACACAACAGTCTTCCATAATGATCATTGGAAGATTTCAAAGGGTGCAATGATAATTGCACGTGCTAGGAAAAGTGGTACTCTTTACAAGATAAAAGGAGCTTGTCATTTGATTGCAGCTACAATAAATGAAAATCCCAACCTATGGCACCAAAGGCTAGGTCATATGAGTGAGAAAGGAATAAGGATCGTGCACTCAAAGGGGAAACTACCAAGTATTCGGTCAATAGAAATTGCCATGTGTGAAGACTGTAAATTTGGAAAACAGAAACGAGTTAGCTTTCAGACAAGTGGAAGTATCCCGAAGAAAGAGAGACTTGAGCTTGTTCACTCTAATCATGGGGTCCAACAATTGTCTCATCCATTGGTCATAAATGATACTTTGTGACTCTTATTAACGACCACTCTATGAAAGTATGGACATAATTTCTTAAAAATAAGTCTAAAGTATTTCAGGATTTCAAAATTTTGAAAGTCATAGTAGAAAATGAGACAAGATTAAAGATCAAAAAGCCTAGATCTAATAATGGTGGTGAATATGAAGACATTAGATTTAAAAAGTCTTGCTATGAGCATAAAATCATAATGGAGAGGATCGTGCTAGGTACGCCTCAACACAATAGTGTTTTTTATCACTTCATTATATCTTTGCTTGAAGATGGGATGCTAACATTGAGAAAGATTCTTGAAAATAAGAATCCAACAGATATGTTAACAAAAGCGACAACCATTGACTAACTGAAATTATGCTCACTTACAGTTGGCTTGCTACAATAATATATTATAGAAGATTGTTGTAATGATCGAGTTATTAAGACAAATAGAAATCATTCTTTAAGTGGGAAATTATTATAATTGGCAAAAAAGGGTTTTATCCAATAAAAATCAATGAAGGGGCGAAGATTAAGGAAATCAAAAAATTAAATAGAAAATAAGTTAATATATAAAAAAAAATAGATAACAAAACGTGTAGAGAA